TGGGGAATTATGTTTGACATCGCTCTCTTGGTTGGTATTATTTCCTAAGAAAAAAAAGAAGGAAGCAGTTTATGGAGGGGAGCCAAATTTGTATTAATGTGAGACCTGTTAAGTTTTAGTGTCTGTGGGACATATCAGTCTATAAATCTACCAGGTGCCAGGTGTGGTGGCAGATGCCTGTAATTCCAATACTCTGGGAGGCTAAAGCAGGAGGATTGTATGTTCTGGGCCAGTCTGGGCAACTTAGTGACTTAGCAAGACCTTCTCTCGAAGTAAGAAGTAAAAAATGATTGGAAAAGCAAAGTATCTCTGTGTGAAGGCCTTAGATTCAGTCCCAAGTACCACAAACAAAACAAAAAGCAAAACACCCTTAAACTAAACAATACTACTAGGCAAATAAGTATCATATTTTGGAGCAAGTATAGTTCTCAAGTATTTCTTGTACCACATACAACAACTACCCTACTATTGATAATATTCCACTACAGTAGTACATTTTATATAAAGGATGTAGGTATCCATGAATATTAGTATTATGAGTGTCCTGGAACCAGTTCCCTATAGATACTGGAGGACAGTTGTATTTCTCTTTCTTGTTATGTTAAGTATCTTGTTGAAAAGCAGTTGTAAAGAGATCATACTTGCTTTGTTCTTAATTGTCCTGTTTCCTAACTTTAGAAAAGCTTCAAATTTCTTACCATTAACTATGCTACCTAAAGAGTGTTTCATGTTTTTTAAGTTGAGGAAGTTCCTTTTCTTGTTTTGCTGAGATTTTAAAAATCAGAATGGGTGTTGGATTTTGCAAATGCTTTTTCTGTATATATTGTATCATGATTTTACTTTTTAAAAAAATTTAATTTTGAAAGTAAAAATATAACAACAAGACAGAACAAAGCAGTGAAACTAGTACAGAACTTGACAGCAGGATACTGGGATGGTAGTAATAGGTACTATGCTATATCTTGTTATCTTCACAATAGTTGTGCAGTCAATTAAGTATAGCAAAATCAGACCAAAAATAGAATATTATAAAACCAATTGAGAGTACTGAATAGAGCAAAAGAAACATAACAAAACAAAACAGTGAAAACAACTTTTACCTTCAAACAGAAGATAGAAGGAAATCCCCCATATTTGCTATATTACATTTAGTCACCCTCCCAAGAGATGCTGAGACATCTACCCCCAGTACTGTGTGTGTGTGTGTGTGTGTGTGTGTGTTTGATTATCAGCCCACACACTGGTAGGTTCACAGGAGCTGCTGGTTCTCCTCTTGGCCCATGCCAGGGGCGCTTATCAAGACGGCAGAAGAATAAGTTGCTTAAGTCCCACCATGGCTGGATCTCGGGAGTGCTGGTTTTCCTCCTGGCCTGTATTGGGGGCGCTTACCAAGAGGGATAATTTTACTTTTTAAAAGCTTGTTAATATGATAGAATACATTGATTTTCAAATGCGGAACTATCCCTGCATATCCATGATGAACTCCACATATTCCTGAGGTACAATTCTTTTTATATACATCATTGCGTTTGATTTACTTAAACAGTTGTCCCTTCGAATCTAGAGAGTGGATCCCAGAAATGTCCATAGATAACAAAATCTGCACATGCTTAACCCTTTATATAGTTAACATAATATTCACATATAATCTGTGTAAATCTATGTACTTTATTTTTAGATTAATTATAATATCTAATTTAATGTGCACCTATATATTTGTTGTACTGTATTGCTTAAGGATAGCAAGAAAAATGCACTCACATGTTCAGTACAGTTTTCTCCATAATATTTTCAGTGTGTACTTGGTTGAATCCATGGATATAGGATAAATGATCCCTGAGAGCTGACTGTATTTTATGGAAGAACAACATTCAAAAAGCAGTAGCCTTTCTATAGATGAATGACAAACTCACTGAAGAGAAATCAGGGAAACACCACCTTTCATAGTAGCATGCAAAAAATGAAATAGCTAGGAATCAATCTAATGAAGAAAATAAAAGACCTCTACATTGAAAACTGTAGTACTCTGAAAAAGGAGACTGAAGAGGCTATTAGAAAATGGAAATACATCCCATGTTCTTAGGTAGGAAAAACCAATATATTGAAAATGGCCATACTTCCAAAACTGTTAAGCCAATTCAGTGCAATCCCAATCAAAATTCCAAATGCATATTTCACAGAATCAGAGAAAATAATTTCAAAATCTATCTGGAACCAGAAGAGACCTAGAATAGCAAAGGCAGTCCTGGGCAACAAAGGCAAGATAGGATCATCACAATCCCTGACTTAAAATTATGCTATAAAGCTACTGTGACAAAAAACAGCATGGCACTGGCAAAAAGGTCAACGGAATACATTAGAATATACAGAAACTACTCCATAAATAGAAACCCACCTTATTTTTGACAAAGGTGCCAAATACATTCAATGGAAGAAAAGTAGCCTCTTTAATAAATGGTGCTGGAAAAACTGGCTGTGCACATCCGAGATTAAAATTGGACCCATATCTTTCACCATGCACTAATCTAAATTTGAAAGGGATCAAAGATCTAAATATTAAAACAAATATTAAGTCTGCTGGGAGATAAAATAGGTAAAACTCTTGAAGACATTGGTGTAGGCAGAGTATAAATAAAACCCCAGTTGTGCAGGAACTATCACAAAGAATCACCAACTGGGATCTCATCTTACTGAAAAGCTTTTACACAGCAAGAGAAACCACCAACAAAATGAAGAGAATCCACAGGGTGTGTTCTTCAGAGGATCACTATTAAGGACGTATAATGAGCTAAAAAAGTCAGACCCCCAAGTGTAAAGACCCAGTCCAAAAAAGGGGGCCTAAGATAAATATACACTTCACAGATGAAGAAATATAGATAGCAAATAAATATATGAAAAAATGTTCAACATCACTGGTCACTGGAGAGATGCAAATTAAAACAACACTGACATTGTATCTCACTCTGAAAAGAAGGGCTGTTATCAAGAATTCAACCAATAACAAACACTGGAGGTCCTGTTGGGACAGAAGAACCCCTCTCCACTGTTGGTGGGAGTGTAGACTGGTGTAACCACTGTGGACGTCCTCAAAAAACTAGGACTCGAGATTCCAAAAGAATTAAAAGCATACCATAGCAATATATGCACACCCATGTTTATAGAGACATAGTTTATTACAGCCCAGTCTTGAAACAAGTGCCGTCACTTGGTGAATGGATGAAGATGTGATTTTTTTTTTTAACAGTGGAGTACTATTGTGTAACAAAGGACGATAAATGTGAGACTTTATAGGTAACTGGCTACCACTAGAGACCATATTCACAAGTAAAATAAATCAGATTTGCCTGTGTAAATATCATATTGTGTCCCTAGTATGAGAAGATGAAAGAAATAATATATAAAAAAGATAGTTAATAGGGACTGGGGTTTTAGCTCAGTGGCATAAGTGCCTGCCTTGCAAGCAGGCAGTCGTGAGTTCGATCCCTGGTACCGATAAAAATGAAAGACAAAAAAAAAAAAAGATAGTTAAGATAGCTATACTACTAATGTGTCTTATTTCATTGAAAAGAATATTGTTTGGATAATTAAATGCATTAAATAAAATGTGCTAATGTTTGGACAGTTAAATGTAGATATCTTACACCCTGGGTAATTTAAAGATAACAGTACTCAATGTATTAACCATTGTTACTAATTATCTTGTTTTGAAATTTTGTTTTTTTTTCCCCTTAAAAGAAAAAAAATTGTCCAGGCTAGGTTTGAACTTGCAATACTTCTGCTATAGCCTCCCATGCTGGGATTACAAACATTTGCCATGACACCTGGCTGAGAAAAATGAATTTTTAAGTGTTTTATTGAAAAATAATTTTAAACTTACAGAAAATAGCACAAAGAGGATCCACATCCCCTTTACCCATACTACTAACATGTTACCTTAAAATTTAGTTTATGTTTTTCTGAAACATTTGCAAATATTATAAATTATCTGTCATAGCCTTTTATCCTTACTTTATATTTCTTAAGAAAAATATTAAAGCTATATTAGAAAAATTGTTTTAATTAAAACTGTGATGAAATTCCTAAAATTCAGCCTCAAGAATAATTAAGCGTATGATTGTGTATCGGAAGCATTTAATGGGAAAACCCTGTGTTCAAAGGATGAGGTTAAAGTGAGGGTGATGGACAGCAGTTTTCAGAGACATCTTCTTTCCTTCCTTTAGCATGGATTATTGTAAGCTGTTACAAAAAGCACTAAGCTAACAGAATTTGGTGTCTTTGTGGGACCTGAGGAATACTTGCAGTTTATTAAATGTATTATGAAACTACTATTTTTGGAGAATTACGGCAGCACATATACTTTAATAGGAGCAAGGAAGATTAACAACCTGTTCTTCATATTTATTGTTTTCCTGATGTTTCTTCTCCTTTGTTATTTATATGTACTCTTTCCCCTTATGTATTCACATCTCTTCTCAATTACTAGGTGTACCGCTCAAATTGCACAGTCATAAGTAGCAGGTAAGAAAGCCATTGCTAAATTATTTTTAAATTTAATTGTTTCATTAAGAAGGGAGTAGTGGTTCAGGGATTTAGCTCAGCAGCATAAGCCCCTGCCTGCCAAGTGGGAGGTTGTGAGTTCAATTCCTGGTACCAAAAAAAAAAAAAAAAAAAGACAGAAGGGAGTAGTATGCGAAACACCATGTTATATACTTGTGATCCCTTTTACTGAGGAGGCTGAAGCAGGAGGATCACAAGTTAAAGTCCAGCTTGAGCAATTTAGTAAGACCATGTTTCAAGACAAAAAGTAAAAGTGCTGAGATACACCTCAGTGACAGGACATTTGCCTCAGATGTATGAGGCCCTGGATTCAGTCCCTAGTAACATACACACATGGATGCACACATCCTTGTAAGTTTGAGGCCAGCCTTGGCTATGTGAATTCAAAGGTAGTGTAAACTCAAGGAAAAAAAGAAAAACATTTGGTGTTTTCTGTTTTTTGTTTTTTTCAGTGTTAGAATCAAATGGTGAGATCAGTGGCTTTTCTCCAAAAAATGTCACTTACGAAGATGATCCATTCCAGTGTTTGATAAGGGAAAGAATTGTAAGCCAACACTCCGTAAGTTCCAACTTGAAAAGAAACTGGCAAATTGAGGATGGCACTGAGGTGCTGCCAGGGAAACAAGATTGTGTCATGCAAGTTGTGCCAGGCAAGTCTCAGCAAGAAGTTTTGACTCAGCATACAAGTATGACTGCAGTAGAGAGGCCCTATGGATGCCAAGAATGTGGAAAAATGTTCAGTCGGCGCTTTTCCCTTGTATTACACCAGAGAACTCATACTGGAGAGAAGCCATATATATGTAAGGATTGTGGCAAAACCTTTAGCCAGATTTCAAACCTTGTGAAACATCAAATGATACATACTAGTAAGAAACCTCATGAGTGTAAAGACTGTAATAAAACATTCAGCTACCTTTCCTTCCTTATTGAACACCAGAGAACACACACTGGGGAAAAGCCTTACAGATGTACAGAGTGTGGAAAGGCCTTTAGCCGTGCCTCTAACCTTACCCGACATCAGAGAATTCATACAGGAAAGAAACAGTACATCTGTAGGAAATGTAGAAAAGCCTTTATTAGTGGTTCAGAACTCATTCACCACCAGGTGACACATACTAGGGAGAAACCTTATGAATGCACTGAGTGTGGGAAAGCATTTCGCCGTTCTTCATACCTTATTCGACATAAGAGCGTCCATACAACCAAAATCTCATATGAGTGTCAAGAATGCAGGAAGGCTTTCCGTTGCCACTCCTTCCTTATTAAACATCAGAGAATTCATGCTGGAGAAAAGCTCTATGAATGTGATGAATGTGGGAAAGTGTTCACTTGGCATGCATCCCTTATACAACACATGAAAATTCATTCTGGCGAGAAACCCTATGAATGTGCTGGATGCGACAAAGCTTTCAGTAGGAGCTTTTCCCTCATTTTACATAAGATAACTCATTCTGGAGAAAAGCCTTATGTATGTAAAGTAGCTGGAGCTCAAACCTTGCTAAGCATCAGAGAACACATACCTTAGAGAACCCCTATGAATATGAATATGAAAATTCATTTAGTTACCACTCATTTTTTATTGAACAGCAGTGAAACACACTCTAAAAACCTAAGTGTTTGGGTTAGTTAAACACAGAGGCTGAGGATATAGCTCAATGGCATAAGCACCTGCCTGGCAAATGCATGGTCATGAGTGATTTCTGGCACCAAAAAACCAAAAATATAAACAATGCTTTACTTTCACTTCAGACTCTTGGAAAAAGTGTTACATAAATGTGTTGAATGTGAGGAAATGTGGCCTGTATTTTACTACTCCTGGAAAAATCCCCAGTAATACATGAGGCAACTTAGTAGCTGTTCATTCTTTTGCAACGTAAGACAAAATCAGTATTAAGATTTTTCATCTGATAATATCCATTCTGTATTTCCTTCCAAGAAAAAGTACATATCAAACAAGCCTTAGGAAGCTTTTATAGATTAGCCCTCACTCTACATCTATCAGCTCAAGCAGGACAGAATTACATGGTAAGGAAAAACATAAAAAGTGTACTCTGGTTATTGGAAAATTAATAAAATGATACAGTGAGAAAGTCTTGTCATGTAATATTTTAAATACTTTTGAAGGAGAGAAAGCACTAGGTGTAGGGTAACTTCATGCAGAATGTCAAATTTACATGGGAGAAGTATACTGAGAACTCATTGTGATGCATGTAACAAAAATCAGATCGATGGACAGAATTGATGTAGGAAATGGTCTTTTTGTTGGGGGAGGGGAATTAAAAGTGAATTCTGAAAAGGCAGTTATGAATAAATCTTTTGGGTTGTACTAATCTTGTACTTGCTAATTTCTTCCACAGCAGGTGTCATGTTGGAAATTTAACTACCACAATTTTGACATCAACAATGAATACTACTTTGCTTTTTTCATGTAAAGATACCCACATAGAAATACTTTTGGGTGTCATGTGGTTTTTTTGGTTTTTTTCTTTTTTTGCTACCAGGGATCAAACTCATGAGCTAGTGCCTGTCAGGCAGGTGCTTACATCCCCAGCCCTTCATCATGTGATTTTGACAGGAGGATTTGGATTTAAAGTTACCCTAACCCATGGACATGTTTGAACCTGACTATACAGACTGTCTAAAATAAATGTAAGCTATACCACAGGAAAATTTCTTGTAGTTTTTTCTTCTGTTTTATGGTTTGGCAGTTTTTCTTTTGTCCCTTTTACCATGAGAAGAGTTTTTGTAAGCGCATAAAAACTGTATTGGCAGGGCTGGGGATTTAGCTCAGCCGCATAAGCACCTGCCTTGCAAGCAGGCGGTCGTGAGTTTGATCCTTGGTACCAATAAAAATGAAAAAGACAAAAAAAAAAAAAAACTATTGGCATTATCAGTTGCCCACCTGGTGAACTCAACACCATCAGATTAAGTTTGCTTTGATAGAGAAAATAAACCATTTTATACAATTATAGGATGAACAGAGGTTAGTGTTAAGCACTGATATTGTAGTAAGTGTATTGAGAACATGTCTGTTGAAGTTATTAGGTAACTCTCATTTCATGAATCAATGGACAATCAGGTATTAGATGTACATGCCTTCACTACCGGAAGTGTTGTATTTCCACAAACCTGCATTAGATATGCCAATTTTGTATACATATTTGTGAAGCTTCCCCAAACAGTGTAAAAGTTGATTAGGAAAGGATGCTTAATTTTAAAACCATATAATTTGGTCACAAACACTACTGAGAAACATGCCTCGAAAGATTTGGGTATTCAGCATCTGATTCACTTTTCTAAGGTGGTGGTGGTCTCTACCACAGTAAAGACTGTTCAGGTTACCCTGAACAGTCAAAAATATTGGAGGAGTGAAAAATTACTCAATATTAATTAGCACTTACCAAGTACCTCTATTTTTGATCTAGCCCTGTCCTCCTAACCACTCAGTGGGATGTGTCCTCCATCATCCACAGGGAACACATTCCAAGGCCTAGAGTGGCTATTTGAACATTTAAATATTTCTTGAGGGATATAGGAGTATCGTAATGGATTGTTTTTGATAGTACTGGAGACTGAACTCAGGGCCTTTGCATTTAGCTATTTTCTCAGCCTTTCGTTTAGATCTTGAAGACAAAGTCTCACTAAGTTGGCTCAGCAAGAGTTCAAAGTTGATATTCTCTTGCTTCAGCCTCTAGAGTCACAGAACTATAAGCATGTACTGTCACTCTTAAGAATGGATCTTTTTTTTTTTTTTTTTTTGTCTTTTTCCTTTTTATCGGTACCGGGGATCGAACTCACGACTGCCTGCTTGTAAGGCAGGCACTTATGCCGCTGAGCTAAATCCCCAGCCCAAGAATGAATCTTTTAAATATTTGGCTATAATCAAGCCTGGGAAGCGTTGTAAGAAACTTTAAAGAAGTAAGAAGTCGTATTAGTGTATGCATGATCATCCTTAGAAGAACTCTAGATTGTAAATGATGGTCAGAGCTTCTATAAAGGAAGATCCCAGTTTCAGTGATGATGATGGCATGGAATCTTGCATGGTAGAGGTGGGACACAATAAGAAAAAAAAGTAAGGTATGGAGTGTTAATAGTTTTAATTACATTAAAATAGAAACATTAAATCTGCAGGAAGATAAAATAGGCGAAACTCTTGAAGAGATTGGTATAGTCAAAGACTGAATAAAATCCTGTTCACACAGGAACTATCACAAAGAATCATCAACTGGGATCTCATCTTATTAAAAAGCTTTTACACAGCAAGAAAAACCAAGAAAGTGAAGAGACAACTCACAGGGTGGAAAAATGTTAGCCAGCTGTTCCTCAGACAAAGCATCACTATTGAGAACATATAAAGAACTCAGAGACCTCACAAATTTAAAGGTCCAATCCAAAAATGGGCATCTGAGATGAATACACACTTCCCAGGTGAAGAAATACAAATAGCAAATAAATATATGAAAAAACATTTAACATCACTGGTCACTGGGGAGATGCAAATTAAAACAACACTGAGATTGTATCTCACCCTGAAAAGAAGGGCTGTTATCAAGAGTTCAACCAGTAATAAACACTGGAGGTACTGTGAGACTGTTTGGTGGGAGTGTTGACTGGTGCAACCACTGGAAATTTGTGTACAGATTCTTCCAAAAACTAGGACCAGAGTTTCCAGTTGATTTAGCTATTTCCCTCCCAGGTATCTTCCCCAAAGAATTAAAAGCATAACAGCAATATAGGCACACCCATGTTTTTAGGGACATAGTTTGTTTTGTAATAGCTCAATCTTGAAACAACCAATGTGTCCATTAGTTGTTAAATGGATAAAAAGATGTGTTTTTTTTTAATACCGTGGAGTACTACTCTGCCATAAAGCATATTGCTTAAGACATTTCTAGGGAATTAGATGCACCTGGAGTCAATACTCTTAACTGAAATAAACTGGACATATATTCTCTGGTATGAAAAACAGTTTAAAGACCAAATATATAATCAATATTGTGAAATAGGAAGAAAATGTTCAAATGGGAAGGGGAACAATGGAGAGGGAAAGGATAAAGAAGTAAAGAAATGAGAAGAGAAGGAAATCAGGAAAAGTAAGCTCTTGTAAATGCGAAGGGGAAGAGGGAATGAAAGGTGGGTAGGGGCTTGGTGGAAAAAAAGTCATATATACTCTGATGAATGTGATGATTATATCTAAAATGTACCAATACAATCTGATTTTAAAAAGTTTTAATCATGTATTTCTGTGTCAACAGATAAATAATCACAGTAGTCCCAGAGATAAAATAGATGTGTGTGTTTCCAAAGTCCTATATCATATATAGGTAGCTACACCTTTGAGACAGAAATGAAACTAAAATCACTGTAAGTAATGTTCACATCCTTGGCTCAATTTCCAGAGTAAAGCCAGCTCACAGCCCTAAAGTTCCTCAGTTGAGGAAAAGCTAAGGTCCCTTTGAAAAGGCAGTACTGTCTGGGTTCATGAACTCAATTTGTTTCACAATTCTGGGGAAGATGGTCACAGTTGTTTATCCCCTAAGTTTGTGAAGGAAGCAAAATTTTATGGAACACTTCTGTTTGTGAACCAAATGGTTCAGATATGAACTGAGGTAGATTATTACTATAGTTGAATGAATTCAAATCTCAGTACAAAAAACCAAAAAGAAACACCCACCTATTTCTCTTCTGTTGGTAGGTATCTTCCCCAAAGTGCTAAAGACCTCATAGTATAGCAATACATGCATACTAGTGTTTACAGCACCCCAATTTATAATTTCTGAATTTTGGGAGCAGCCTGTATCTCCATCACTAGACTAATGAATAAAGAAAGTGTGCTATCTATATATAATGGAACACTACTTAGCTGTAAAGGACAGACGTGAGACATCTGTAGGAGACTGCATGTTCCTGGGAAATATGCTGATCAGACACAAACCTAAATACCATATAGTACGTCTCATCTGAGTAAGGCAGAGTATGAAGAGCACAATAAAGGATGAATAGAAACCAAAGGGATAGAACTCTTGCAAATAGGGTACAGGAGGGCTAAGGAAGGGAGCAGAGGAACCAGAAGAGATGCTATGTACAGGAATCTGATAACCTTGATGAATGTAAGCATATGTCATGAACATGAGCTAAGATTAGTGACATCAAGAATGTATATTGGGGAGGGAATTTACAACCAGAAAGGTAAATGTGAAGGGAATTAAAAAAGAAGCTATATCATGTATATGTACCCCTCCCCTAAGGTGAATGTAAAATGTTATAACATTTTAAAATTATAAATATAAAAAGGAAGCAAAACAGAGCCCAAAACATCTGTCTCCGGATGTCAATCATATACAATCACTGTCTAATGACTGCATTTTATTAACATTTATAAGAAACCAATTAGCTGTTACTGGAAATTTAGGAATTTCCAATTATTTCCTAGTGTGAAACTGAGGTGAATGGTATTATACAGGCTTGTATAAAGAATTGTTTCAAAAATGTTCAGGAAAGTTTTTCTAGGTTAAATGTTACGATTTGATGACTGGGAAGGCTGATTAGTACATGGACAGCATACTCTGCATGGATATCATGCACAACAGGATGGTTTACTTCCCAGGGTAGGTGCTGCAGACTTCATTAGGCTGCACAGAACAGTGTTGAATCATTACTGATTCAAAACTTAAAGCCAGGTGTGATGGCAATGCCCATAATCGTAATACTTTGGAGGCTGAGGCAGGAGTGTCACCTTAAGTTTGAGGCCAGTCTGGGCTACATGCTGAGTTCAAAGGTAGCCTGAACTATACAGTGAGATCCTGTCTCAAGACAAAACAAAAAACAAAACTTAAAGAGTTCTTTATTTTTGTAATTTTCCATTTAATATTTCCAGCTCATGTGGGTAACTAAAATAATGGAAAGCAAAACTGCAGACAAAGGAGGGCCGTTCCATTAATCTGTACTTATATTGCTAGTTTAATGGAGGACACTGCTGCTCACCTATTCTGGGTCAATCTGTTTTTTATTTTTTATTTTGCCTTTTTCCTTTTTATCGGTACCAGGGATCGAACTCACGACTGCCTGCTTACAAAGCAGGCGCTTATGCCGCTGAGCTAAATCCCCAGCCCCCTGTTTTTTAATGTAATACACAGTAGAGTGACATGAACAATGACCACGCTGAAAATAATCCGTATGTTGGGTGAGGGGTGAGACCAAACAAACACTGAGCTGCTGTTCTCTGAACGGTCATTATCTTTCCATAGGTACTGCTGCAACACCTGCTCTGGGAGAGGTGATTCCAGTGCTTGGAGAAAATAAGATACTGATTCAGTGATTGCTGCCTTGAACAATCACTTAAATACCCTTAAGTTAAACTTCTACTGAGAAACAAAATAAAATAAAAGCTATAAAGTTTGTTGAATACAGAACACTTTGGGCCACAAAATAAGTAGTAAAACAGTGAATTTCTACCTCACCAAAATTGACAGAACCAAGGTACACAAGCGGTTACAGCAAAGGATACAATGCATAAGGATGAATATGCCAGGTTCAGGTAGGGAGAGACTAGAGGTATAAAGGGTGGCTGTGTAGTGCACCACTGTAATTTCAGAGCTCTGGGAGGCTAAGGCAGGACAGTTGGAAGTTTAAGGCCCAGCCTGGCAACTCAGTGACTCAGTAAGACCCAAGTCTCACTAAGGTTACAAAGCGGTGGGGTTGTGGCCTCTACTACCTCCACCTCAAACAGCTTTTTTTTTTTTTTTTGGTGGTACTAGGGAATGAATCTACTCCATATCCCTTTCTGGGACAGGGTCTTGCTAAGCTGCTGCTACTGAGGGTGTACTCCAACTTGTGATCTTTCTGTCTCAGCTTCCCAGAATGTTGTAGTTTCTTTCTTAAGAGGAATAGAGTTTCACCAAGACAAACTAGTGTTTCAGAAATGAAAGTTGTTTTAAGTGAATATTCAAATTTTTCTACCTTCTTTATACTCCATTTGGGTTCACTTTTTAAGACTTCATCCAATTGGACCCGTATGTAACACTGAAAACAGTTAACTTCACATTCATTTGATTTGTCTTGCTTTGGTGAACTGCTCCTATCTCTGGTTTCCCCATTGTCTACTGTGGTTTATTCCTTTTCTTTTAAATATTCCTCATGGTCGATGGCAGATACCCTCTCTTCACTCCATTTCCCCTGGCCAATCTTAGTCACTTTCACAAATGCTATTAGTCTATCCCAAGGATCATTAAAATGCACCTTTATTCTAGATACTTCGTCAAGTCTAGAGCTGTATTATTTAGCTGTTTAATGTCTCTGTGCTACAAAATTAACATGACTAAACATACAACTACTATCCTGTCATATGCGTTTTTCCACATTTTGTTTCAAACTATATATTAGAGCCAATCTCTGGGCAGTGTCTGAAAGGCCAGGAGGTGAAATCTCAAGCTCCACTTTTTCAAGTTAGTAATTTCCCTTCTATCTAAAACTTTCAGCATTTCTGGTGCTAAAACGCTGAGATTTCTTTCTTGCTTCTCTGATGAGCTGTTTCCAGTAATGCCAGCTATCTTCATCTCCCGCATAAGCAAAAAAATGCTGTTAGCACTCCTAAACTCGGTTTATAGGTTCCTTTTCAAATGCGTATCTTTAACACACTTAACTCCATTTTCCCATGGTTTTTAAAAGTTAAGGTCTAAGTATTGACTGTACTTGTGTAGTGCTGTAAAAACAGTAAGCTTTTGTTGTTGTTGCACATAAAAAGAAATCTTGAAACAAGCAGTGGAAAGCTAACAGAGCTCTTTAAAGGTGTCTTTGGGGACTAGGATCTCTTGTATATTATCCTTAGGCAAAGATTGTCCTTTTTATGTCCCAAGGTGGAACTTTCAGCTCCAAGACTGGAAAATTCCAAGGGAGAGAAGAATGGACAAGGTAGAAAGGCACTGTGTGAAAGGCAGAAAGAATAAACAATTCAGTTCCCAATGATATTAGTCTATTTTTGACTGGTAAGGAGTTACGGAGATGGCCATCCTTGTGAACAAAGAATCTGAGAAAGCTTTTATAACTAGGCAAATCAGTACACTTAACTAAAACAGGACTTACTAGTAAGGAAGGCTGAGTGTTGTTAGCTTAGTTACAGTATCCACCTCACTGGGATATAACAAAACTCTGAGGAAAATACAGTACCAATATAGTACCAGGCTAGGTGCCATGAAAACAATGCAACAAACAAAATTCTTAATCAGAAGGCAACTGAAAATCTTATCACACATATTCAATAATAGCCAGAATCAAATGACAAAAGACAGTACTCAGAACTAAATATAAATTACCATAGAAGAAAACTACATGAATGTTTTTCAAGGCCATTAATACCCTTAAGTGGAAATAAAAAAAAACTTGAAGGTACCTATAAGATATTGAAAAAGTCAATTCTACATTTATAGCACTTATACAGTTTCTGGCCCTTTATGAATTCTCTTGTGTATAGTAAGTGAAGAGCTCTGAATGAAAGCCTTTCCACATTGAATACATTCATAGGGCTTCTCTCCAGTGTGAATTCTCACATGTCTCCTAAGGGAAGAGGAAACGCGGAAAGCTTTCCTACATTCCATACATTCATAAGGCTTTTCTCCAGTGTGAGTTCTGATGTGCATTCTAAGGGAAGAGAGACCACTAAAAGCCCTCCCATAGTTGCTGCAGTCAAAAAGATTCTCTCTAGTGTGTATTTTCTTATGAGCCTTAAGGTGGGAGCTTGTGTTGAAGGCTTTTCCACAGTCACTACAGTCATAGAGTTTCTCTCCAGTGTGTATTCGCTTGTGCACTATAAGGTAAGAGCCCGTGCCAAAGGACTTTCCACACTGATTACACTGATAAGGTTTCTCTCCAGTGTGAGTTCTCATATGAGCTTTAAGAGTTGTTTTTTGACTGAAAGCTTTTCCACACAGATTGCATTCATAGGGTTTTTCTCCAGTGTGAGTTCTTTCATGTCTTCTTAAAGTTGAGGAATCACCGAATATTTTCCCACATTCTTTACACTCATATTGTTTCTCACCCGTATGACTTTTTTTGTGCAAAATAAAATTAGAGATCCTTCTGCAGGCTTTTCCACATTGATTACATTCATACTCTTTGTCTTCAGTATGAATTTGCTCTCGTTGCTTAAGAGATGAATGATGAAAAAAGGGCTTATTTTTAACATATTTACAGGAACTTCCCACTACATGAAGATTATTATGTATAGGAAGCATACTATTGTATTTGAAGGGCATACCATATTGACAGCATGCATGTTTTTGTGTTGCTGAAGTTCTTGCACGATGCCATAGAGAATGATCATATTCATGACTTTCACAGGTCTTTTCATTCATAGAATTTTTCTTGTAACTGTTTAGTGCTGAGTTACATTTATGTTTACTGGTGGAAACTCTCTGTGAAAATGTAAGTTCTGACCTAAGTTTAGAGCTTTCCTGTAATTCATGATAGTTAGAGACATTCTCCTCAGATGCTGTTTTCTTTTGTGTATGTGTCACTTGCCTGAAACATCTCTTTGGGATTTTGTGCTGCGTTCGTATCTTATGGCATTCCCAGTTTTCTCTTAATGTGGAGAACCTGCTGTTCATTATGAATCGTATTTTTACTCCAGTGGATGATTTCTCCCCAGAGATATTATGTGTAGGAATTGACTCTTTGGTTTTAAATTCAATCATCCAGTCTGGACAGAGAGCTTGGGAAATTCTTTTCATACTTATCTCTTCTTGATCTAAGAAGGAGTTCACAGAAAGTGTGCACAACTGATCCTCCACTGCAGTAAGATTTCTATAGTTTTCAAACATTACATCTTTGTACAGATTTCTCTGAGCAGAGTCCAGCATCAACCACTCCTCTGGGGTGAATTCCACAATTATATCCCTGATGGTCACTGGTTCTTGTAACCAGATTGTCAGCAGTTCAGCAACTATTCTTTCTTCCTCCATTTTTCTCATACAGAAGCAGGTAAAATCCTGTACAGGTAGAGCTGATGTGGAGTATAGGTCAGTGACTGCCATCTTTTGAGTCTGAAAGTAATATAAACCTGTAAAACAAGGTACAGGGATCAGGATGTTTCTTTGGTCCATTCAGAGCATGGCTGTATTTCACCACATATTCTTTTTCCAGCCAACAAGACAGATTCCAGTAAAAGAAGTGGAAATGGGGACTCATTATGGGCAAGGTGAACAAACAAATCTGTGGACCCTTCCCCCATCTCTCCACAAAGTCTAACCAGCTCAAAATCTTTATCAGGATTGGTATACTACATGCAGTAGGAAGACCCCCTTCTAGAACTACCATCCGTCTGTTCTGGCCTTTCATGTAGATTATTTCTCAGCCCTGCAGGAAAGGAGCATGCCTTATTCAAAAAAGTTAATGCCAGCAAGAACCACTGAACAATAACCAAATTTGTTTAACTAAATGTCATACAAATTTTACTACTTTTGTTAGTTAACTGGAATGGAAAAAATAGTTTTCTTGGTAAATATCACTGTCTCATTTATTTTAAACACAAAGGTTTCATGAAAACTTATTTGTTCTACAGCTTTGTGTTTACCTGTATAATCTTCCATATATGAATAGGACAGATGATTCTAAGGAATGTAACTCATCGATTCCTCCCAAAGTCTGTATTTCACAATGAAAAGGTATACCACCTAAAACCTAAAAGCGACATCTTACCAATGTTAACAATGGTATTATTCTTTGTTGACTAATTCTTACAATGGCTTTAATAGAAGTAACAGCATTTACTGTGAATACAAAGACAATATATGGCAATGTTAAAGATCAACACATGACAAGACAATGTATTACACTAACAGTTATTTAAGGTCTCACTTTTTTAGCTAATAACTGTCAAATGCAAAGCTTTTCTGTCAGTTCTGGGCTTCAATGGAGCTCAATTTTAATGGACTAAATTATAGAATTGGCATTTTAGACAAAGATCTTTGACAAACAGATTTTATGTTTTTAACCTAGAAGTATATATCTGAGTATATATGTCACTTTGACAGAATTCATATAAATTTTTGTCTGATTTGTTCACTGATATATTTATGGTACTTAGAATAGCCCCCAGTTTACAGCAGAAACTCAGTAATCAGAATGATTTTATGATGGGGGTGTATTTTTTCATACTCATACTTTTTTTAAAGCAGGAAAAGAAAAAGAAAAATTAGGTATCCCCAAGAAAAACAAGGACCAGATCAGGCACACACCTATACCTGAGCTATGTAGGAGATTGAGGCAGGAGGATCATAAATTTGATGCCAATCTGGGCAAACTTATAGGACCCCATCTCAGAATAGAAAAGAACTGGCAATATAACTCAGTGGCAAAATGCCCCCATATTCAATTCCTACTACTGTCCCCCATCTGCTCTTTAAGTCAATAAATGGTATTATAGCATTGTGAAAAATATAAATCCTACCTACACATTATTCACACATTTCAGATAAAGACAACAAAGTGTGTTTAGCAGGAATTCCAGAAGTGGGTAGAGGAAAACAAATGTTAGATATTATTGTTTTTACCTCTAGCTCAAAGCAAGATACATAAATCCTTGATCTAAAAGTATATATACCACATTTCATAGAGAATAATTTTAAATCTATGAGATACTGTGAAGGGGAACTCTACAATATCAAGGATAATAGAGGTAAAAAAGGCAGTTATCCTCAAAGGAAGATCGGTTGTACTAACCAAACTTCTCAGCTATAAAATGAGACACTGGAAGATATACAATGAAATCTTAAAAATATTAAGGAAAAACATGAATCTAGAATTCAGTAGTATGTTACAGAGTGAAGCAAGACCAGTATAACAGACAATGACATATATGAGTGTTTACCACTCAGTTCTTAAAGGAACTTTTTTTTGAGACAGGGTCTTGTAGCTTAGGCCTGGCTTTCAGCTTGTGGCAATTCTACCTCAGCCTCCTGAGTGATGGGATTAAGGTACATATCTGTAATCCTATATGTAATCCACCAGTTCTAGTTCCTAAAAGAACTACTAAAAGAATGTTCTTTATTTCTTTTTTGTCTTTTTGAGACAGGGTCTCACTATGAAGTTCAGTTCAACTCACTTTGTAGCTCAGGACGGCCTTGAACTTGCAACAATCCTCCTGCCTCAGCCTCCTGAGTGCTATGATTACAGGTGTGCACCACCACACCCAGCTCTAAAAAAATAAGAAGAATGAACTCCAAAGAAAGCAGTAGTATGTAAAACTAAAAAACAGGAGGCGTTAAAGAGTAATACACACATTCCTTATTTAACAACCAAGTTCAGTTCCTGAGACTAGACTGTTAAATGAATTAGTCACCAAATGAGGAACTGTATATACAGAATGAAGAAATGATCAAAGGAAACTCCAGTTTTGTCTTTGTGTTTTAATTGCATAACTCTTACATGTGGTACTGTAATGTATAACAATTCAAGTCTAGTCAAGGTATACTGTATAAAAAAAAGGACATTGTGGCTCTATCAAGAAGATGTACAGAATTATATCAAGAAAAAGATAGGCTGTAAGTCTGAGAAGCAGATTATAAGTCCAAACAGCACACCTTCATCATTAAGTCCAAACAGTCATTTAACAGGTAGGTCATTAAATGAGGAATGAAACAGAAAAATTCTGTTTATGTAATGAAACGGAAAAATTCAAGCAAGGCAACAATAACATCTTAAAAGGTGCTTATAGTAAAGAAAACTAAATTGAGACAATACTGAGGTAGTTTCTCTAAGAGAAACGTTAGAATAAGAGTCTTGAAATTGTATGAACCTTATATGGAACATAAATTTAAAAACATATAGGAAAACAGGACAATGTGAACATGGCCCATACATCTGAGATGAAAAATTTAAAGTTAACTTTGTGGATATAATATTCTGGTTAGGATTTTTAAAGGAATCCTAATCATTCAGAGATAAATTCTGAAATATAAGAAATATCTGACATTGGCTTCAAAATAGTGATGACATAAGAATGTTATTATACTTGATTTTGTATGTGTTTGAAATTTTCATAATAAAATTTAAAAACCATCAGAGGGATATTTTACCCTCACAAGAAGAATGTATTTGGGGTTTTTTGTATATTTATTAACTAAAATAGGCGGTCTTAGGAAATTAAAAACTATAACTCTTCCTTCACTCATGACTCCCCAAAACGTAAAAGAATTCAAAGCTAAAATTAAGGAAACCTTTTTGAAAAGATACAAGATTTTATACAATTAAGACAATTATGTAATAAGTGTCAAAGGTCCAAATCCTGATTATTTGGAGGACTAAACAGAGAAAACGGGAGAGAGAGACTCAAATAGATACAGAGAAAAATTCCTAGAAATGATAGAATATCTCAGGATTGATCTATTAAAGTAGGTAATGTTTTAACATGACTGGAACTAAAGCATAACACCATAAAATTTTGCCAAAAAAAGCTGATGAGCCTAAAGAAATGATAAAAAGGTTACATACAAGGGATCAGTAAGGGGTATGAAACAAAACTTCCACATTAACATTGCTGCATTTCTTTCTTGGCTTTGCAGTGTTTCAAAGTTCTAACAGACAATATTTTTACCAGGAGCCTCTATACATGGCCAATACCATGTAAATGCGAGGACAAAATAACTTATCATCACATACAATCTTAATATATATTAATCATATAGACCCATTTCCAGGAAAGTAGTATAATTAAAAACTTCCAAAAAGGAATGGAAGTTTCCAGGAAATTGGAGCACTAACAGAGAAGAGGAAATTGATGAGGGTAGAGGGATGTCTCAGCATACTGGTGTGCTGTTTGCCTACAGGATATCTGATTATTTGTCTAGATCAGTGGGCAGTGTGTTTTTTTCTTTTGAGACAAAAGACAATGTATGAGTTGTTTTTTCTAAACTGAGACCTCAATATTCAGGTTTACTTGCAGTGTTGGCAGTCTGCAATAAATAAGTCGCTTTTGGGTTGCAGTTTGGGGACTCACCTCTAAAAGATTTGACATCCCTGCTCTAGAGTGTAGATGTCCAGGATCAGACAAAAATACATTGCGTGACAGATTAGATTTAGAGGAAAACAGGATTCAGGGGCATTTTACACAGACTTAGGGAAAACCAAATCATACAAGACAATTACCTAAAAAAGGTAAAATTTATATAAGAAACTGATTCTGGCTCAGCAATAAAGACTACATAGTTATCACAATGAGAACAATGTAACCAGAAATTTTTTTTTTGTACTGGGGATCAAATTCATCAAACTCATGATCTTGTGTTTGCCAAGCAGGCACTTACACCGCTGAGCTAAAATCCTGGCCCCAATGTAACCAAAATTTGAGAGAGAAATGTAATATAACTGTATTGTGATTCATTAATGTGGGAAGGAAGCAAAAATTTTCAATGAACATAATAAGTTTAAAAATAATGTCTTAAATGGATGAATAAAAAATATCAAAGGCAATCAAAAGTCAGAAGTGCTCAAATATTTAAAAGTGGCAGCCACTGCTGTCAAGAGAAAAAGAGGTTTCTTATTGTTATTTAGAGCTTTGTAACAATAGTATTTTTGACTTTTTAAAAAATATGTACACATTTCTTGGAAACTAGATGGGAAATGAGCAAATTACATAATCAAGAAATTTTAAAAAACAGCAAAGTAAAGAAAAAAGATAAACCACCCAAATCTGCATTTTTGGAGACTAGTCTCATTAGGCATCTTGCAGGACTAAAAAGAAAAAAATGTGTGAATGGATGAGTATGGGGTTTAAAAAAGAAAAAAATAAGTATAACTTTAGCAGTGATTTAAAATACTATTACAAAAGCAAAGATTTGACAGCGGGGAGAGAGGCATGAAAGCTCGGAGAGTGGGAAGCATTGAATGGAGTTGGGAGCAGGACTGGCTGGGTGCCCTGCATTGACCCGCGGTGAGTGAGCGGATTGGGACCCTTCGATAGAGAAGGAGGCTTCAGCAGAGGACATACTCGGACTGGGCAGACTACCCGGAACTAGATGCTGCCATGACTTCAGTCACATATCCCCCTCTCAAGTGGGACTGGTGGGAAGTGCCTGGCCTGCGAGACCCCGTGGCTGAGATTTAATAGGCTAGCCCAACCCAGGTCCCAGCGCCTGGAGGTGCACCCTAGCGGTGAAGCCTTCGGTAGGTTGACCTGGAGGGGCCCAGCATAGACTGCCCAGGTCTGGGTCTCCCTGGTGTGCTGTGGTGGGCGGGAACACCTAGCCGGCGCAATTCAAACAGACTGTGGCCAACAGGAAGGAAGCTGGGCCTTCTATATATGCTTATATATAAGGAACAAAGAATATGGGAAGAGGAAGCAACAAGAAAGGGTCCTCGGCCCCCAATCCTGAGAAACATGCAATAGCAGACATGGCACCAATAGACATAAAGCGCTATCTCCAGAGCCTCATAGACGAGTTCAGGAATTAAGTTATTAATGACCTGAAGCAAGACATAAGCAGAATAGTTAGAGAAATGCTAAGTACCGCCCAAGAATAAACAGATGGTGGAATGAAGAACAGAAAAAAAAGGGGAGAATTGTTTCATGGAGAAGATAGAGAAAACATAGAATACATGAAGCAGATTCAAAGAGATTACCAGGAAACTAAAAACTCTATAGAAAACTGGCATAACAGCTTGAAAGAAATTAAGGATAGATTATCTGAACTGGAGGGCAGATTTGTAATATGGGAGCATGAAATGAAAAACTTCTTAAAAATAACAAAAAAACAAACAGCAACAATACAAAAGCTAAGATGATAAGAGGATCTATAACTTAAGAATTAAGAACATAAAAGAAGAAGTGGGGACACAAACAAATGGACTACAAAAGCTATTCACAGAAATAATCCAAGAGAATTCCCTAATTTAGCAAATGGTAAAGAAACTCAGATGTATGAGGCATACAGGACTCCAGCCACTTACAACCCAAACAGAGCTACACCCAGGCATATAATAATCAAAATTCCAGAAATCCAATATAAGAACAGAATATTAAAAGCCATCAGAGACCAGAAACAGATCACTTATAAGGGAACACCCATCAAAATTACAGCAGACTTCTCAGCACAAACCATCAAATCATGAAGAGCGTGGGGGGAAATAATTCAAGCTTTGAAAGATAATAACCTCCAGCCAAGATTGATATATCCTGCACAACTGTCCCTAGAAATTGATGGAAAAACAAGGTGCTCCCAGGATAAAGAGGAACTAGGGGAATTTGTAACCACTAATTCAACTCTACAGGGATAGTCTAAAAAAGGAAAATACCAAGATTCTGGAAATAGTGGCAGAGAGGCCACAATGAATGGAGCAGAAAACAAAATGAAGAAGACAAACTGACAACAAACGACAGAAAAAGAGCTCAACAGAAATGAGGCAGAGAAGATTGGAAGGTAGGAACAGCTATTTTGGAGAAAACAAGACATCATAATAGCTAGTGCTCATTTAGTATCATCTTGTTTTGAAGTCCCATCAAACTTGTATTCTTCTGTCTCCATTGGTCTTAAAAGGTTGTATCTTATTGGATTTTATTATATATAATATAAGCAAAAACTTTTATAGACAAGGATTTTCTATAGAAACCATTGTTCATTTTCTGTTAATTGGTTCTAAATACCCTGTAATAATGTCATTCTTTTGAATGGTTTTATAGTGTCTTAATATGTTTGGTGCTATAGTATACGAAGTTATACTCAAAGATTTCAAGGAAAGAGACACTATGGTAACTATTTTTATGTCAGGATATCTTGTGGTGAAACACTATTTTGCTTAAATGGTTTTGTTTTGACCTGCGCTGTTCTGTTGTTATGCCCTCTTTTATCTCAATCCCCTTTTTAAAAATTATTTACTTTTTTCTTTTTCTTTTTTTAATTAAGGGAAAAATAAATAAAAAATAGCAGGATACATTATAGTAACCTACTTTGATTTCCTATTAACTTGATTTGAAATCCTGTATTGCCCTCACCATCTTGTTTTGACTGATTTTCCTCTATTCTGCTTTGCTTGATAGTACCAAATTCAAAAGTATAGGCATAACTGTGAAGACAATAAGAATCATTATGACGCCCATTCCAGTTGACTATTATTTTCTTTTAAAATCCTGTAATGTCTCCAATGCTTTGGCTTTATTCTTTACTATTTAGTTCAATTTTATTATAACTGACAATTCTTCTTAAAATAGCAAGAGGCAGTATGGTAACCATTGTTGATCACCTAGTATTTTGTTTTTACATTATCTCTTATGTCCATCCTTTTGATTTGACTGACTCTGTTCTGATATGTCACATTTGGTTTTACTCTCTTCAAAAAAAGTAATAAGAACTGTGGGAGTAATAAAACCCAAAATTTGTAATTGTCATTGTACAAAAGAAAAGAAAAGAAAGTTCTCTAAAGGTTATAACTGCATATATGTTTAAGTGTATAAGATAGATAACCATATTACTGAGTGTTTTTTGGATTATTGAACAAAACTGTTTGCACTCTCACTGTCTGAAAGTCCACTTTATATGCTTCAATTTTGTAACTTGAACAACTATTTCTAAGATGAGAATATGTAATCTATTAACTAGTGATTTCTTGCTTTTTATTTTTTAAATTTTGTATTACTTGTACCCTTTTTCTGTTTTTTTCCTTTTTCTCCTTAAAAAAAAAAAAACAACAACAACAAAAAAACAAAAGCAATGATATCCTGGGCATGGTGGCAAACGCCTGTAACCCTAGCAGTTGGGACACTGAGGCAGGAGGATCACTGTGAGTTGGAGGACAGCCTGGGTTCTGTAGGGGGTTCAAGGCCAGTCTGAAATGTACAGTGAGACCTTGTCTCACACAAAGAAGAGCAATGATTTTTAAATCACCATAAAATTACTTAGTGTGATCACTGTGAACTTTTGCTGACAAATTTAAAATTGAGATAAAAATATTTTTAAAAGTAGAAAAATACAGGTGTCCAAAACTGTCTCTGTAAGAACTACAAAGCCTAACTTAACCAACACGTTTAAAAAGATTGAGTCTCAGGTTAACTATGTACTGGAGATTTTGAGACCAAAGGTTTTGAATGCCGACTGTATAAACTTTCAAGGGAAAAACTGTCTTCCTGAGTAAAGAAAAACACTATGCCGTCTAATTTTTTTTTTTTTTTTTTTTACTTTTATACCAGTCTGAGGATTGAACCCAGAGCTTTTACACTGAGCTATACTCTCATTTTTTATTTTGAGACAGGATCTCGCTAAATTGCCCAGGGTGGGACTCAAAATTACTATCCTTTTTTTCAGCCTCCCAGAGTGCTGGGATTACAAGTGTGCATCGCTGTCTGGCTCCAAATTACTTTTGAATGTTATAGAATCTTATTGGTGTAACTCGGCTGAATGGTACAAAGAAAGAGTAAAATGCTATCTTTATTTTCAGCATAAATAAAAAAACTGTTAAGTTATGGTTATCTTCCTTCAGTTTCTTAAAAGCCACACTACAGTTGGGTGGTGAGCCTGTGGTATAACATTATCTATCTAATAAATCCCTGTGAGTTTTGCACAGAAAACAGCATACATCACCAAACTGCTTGACACATCCTAAAGAAAATTCCTCAGAAGTCTCTTTCAAGGGAAAAAACCCAACATACATGTATTTTATCTGATCCCCTTGACCATTAACATTAATCTTACATATTTGTTCATTCATTTTGCCCGAAATGCCAGTTTCTGGCAGCGCCAATGGCACTGGGCCTGTAGAACAAGGCCATCAATGTCGTCTACAACAGCACTTGGCGTCCTTAGCCTTAAGAGGTCGATCGGGCCACTTGGCCCGGGACAGTGTCCTAGGCTACGCTCAGAAGCCCTCCCCTGCTGACACCAAACCTAACCCCCAGCCCTCCCTAAGACGCGGCGTTCCCGCAGGGCAAGGAGCGCTTCGCTTCCCCACGTTGACTTTGAGCGAATTCCCTTACCACCCGCAGAATCCAAAGCCAGCGATGACACCTGAGTACAGAAGAGAATGAAAGAAACAATACCGATGGTGCTGAAGCAGTGCAACCGGGACACCAGCGGAGCTGAAGGCAGCAGCAGGCACACAGCGTACCCACCAGGCGTGGTCGTGGAAACCGAGGGGCGACTAGCTCCTCCCAGAGCCCGAGCCTCAGTCAACCCTCCGCCCGTTCCAGCCCATCGGTTCTTCTGCTTCGCCAGGGCGAGTCGCTACCCTTCCGCGCGGCCCCCTCCAGGGCAAGACAAACACGGACTCACCAGTAAACAGCCCGCGCCCGAACGCTATTAACTGTGCGGCAGAAGGAGGACGGCGCAGGCGGTACTACATTTCCCAAGATGCCTCGTGAGGCGCGCAGGTTTGCGTACCGGGACCCTCAGTAGGCGGGACCCGTGATCCGCAGCTGGGAGAGGTGCGCGGGGGCGAGACGGCGTTAGTGCACGCGTGAGTGCGTAAGCGGTAGGGGCAGTGCGTGGTGACGTCACTGCGCGCCGCCTGGACGGAATGGGTAGCGGGCTTGACGTGTGTTGGGGTTTTGTGCGCCCCTTGTGGCGACCTGGCGTGGCCCTGGCGAGCTGCGCGCATCCTGGGCGTTATCGTGGTTTTCGCCGGCTTCGCCGCGGCGGCTGCCTCGGTCCCGGGCCATTCGCCAGACCTCGTGGAGCGCGCTGCAGGTACACGCGTGGCCCAGCGCTGTTACGGGTTAGCTGTCACACAGGCGATGGTGTTCTTGGGCGGCTGTGCTCCACCGGGGCAGGCGTATCTGGGCGGCTGTCCCCGAGCTCTCCTGGGTGCTGCGGGCGGGGACGGGGCCGTGCGGTCGGTGGCAGGCATGGGCTGAGCTTACTTTGAGGTCCCGCTTTCCTCCCAGGCTTGCGTCCCACTGCGAGCTGACCTTGAAGTTTCTAAAAGGCCTCGCTAGTATCAATTGAAAGGATGGTCTCTTTGTTAGAATAGGACATTTCTTAATAGTGAGAGTCACGTTGCTGGAAGAAGTCCAATGTGGTTTTAGAAAAATACACATTATTGACTGAGCATGGTGGGGCACGCGGGAATCCCAGCCCTCTGGAAGGCTAATGCACGCTGAGTCAGTAGGATCTTAAGTTAGAGCCCACACTGGGCCTCAGGCAGAGGCAGGAGGGTCGCAAGTTAGAACCCAGACTTAGGGAGACTTCGTTTGAAAATAAAAAAGTGCTGAAGATACAGCTCAGTGCAAAGATTTTGGGTTCAGTCCCACTAAGCCAAAGACAAAAAGTAAAAGAAAATACATTATCAGATTGTTTGTAGTTGCGTATTACGTTGCTTTAAACAGTTCTACTTTTAATAAGTTTGATTGCAGAAACGGGAAGGATGGATTTCTATTTCTTGGTTTAATCTTAAAAAACATATTTTAAAGGTCTTTTTTGCTTTTTATTGTATTTACACGAATCTCCTCAAAATTGACCTCATTAATACTTTCAGGTAATGTCAAGCAGGGTTATATGATCTTAAAAAAAGTTCGTGTCTGTAGTTATTAGCTGCCTCATCTTCAGCTTTTTATAAACAGATTTACTGAACGTGTGTGCTTGAACTGCTTTTACTTTCAGGGACAGCTTGTAAGTTTAATTTTTATATTTTGATACTAGGTTCGTTAATAATGACACGATTATTATGTCATCTAACATCGAATGTGTCCAAGATAAACTTAGTACCAATGATGTGTACCATTGTATGTATGGAGGTAAAGAATCTCAGATCTATAAATAGCAGAAAGAGGCGAGAGAGAGAAAATGTGTCATACAGAATGCCAGTCAGTAAGCGTTAGAGATGTTCACTGTGGCTGGTAAACTGAGAATTACACCGCACAACTTCCACCCACTTTTTAACCGCCTCAGCAGTGAACTATTTTTATGACAGAACTCCTCTTCTGTTTGAGAATTGTTACTCCATTTTGCAGAGCCTCCTTAACCGTGAGGTTTCTGCCTCTTCAAAAAATGCCCTTCCGTTCTTTCGTTCTTCCTCTTAGTGGCAGTTTCTTGAGCTCTTCCCATTTGCCAGATGTAAGGGCAAGGAGTCACAATACAATGGACAAATTAAAGCAGGGTATCTGCTTGTCAGTATTGTACGTAAGCATTACCTCAAAGTTCTGTTTAGAATAATATTTAGATATGAGACTTAACCTTCTGGAACAGAGATTATAAAACTGCCTTTTTATTAAGTTTATTAAGTCACTAACTTGTGTAAGAGTTAACAGTTGTAAAGTTTTTCAGAGAAGTGACTGATAGATGATACAGATTTCCTTACTGTCCTCAATGATGTTAGCACATACCTTTATGAAAATGTTTATTCACAATAGGGAGATGCCAAATATTAATTTTTTTTGGTCTTTATCATTTTTATCAGAACCAGGGATTGAACTCACGACCGCCTGCTTGCAAGGCAGGTACTTATGCCGCTGAGCTAAATCCCCAGCCCCCAAATATTAATTTTAATGAGATATTTGTGTGAATTTGACTCTGTGTGTTTATATTTACTTACTTATTTTTGTTTATTTGACACAAGGTCATTCTGTAGTTCAGGCTGGCCTTGAACTCAGGCAAACCTCTTGCCTCAGCCTTCCAGGTGCTAAGATTATAGGTGTCCACTGCCTCTCTCGGCATATATGTGTGAATTTTATGAAAGCACTTAAAAGCCTTTCTAGAAGATGTAAAATAAGAATAAAGGATAAGTAAGTTTGGTTTTCAGTTGTCAAGTGAATCCAACAATTTTTTAAAGAACTCCAGTGCACCCTATATTCATGCCTTGTAAAATTATTTGGAAGTGGTTCTTGGTTTTTTTTTTTTTTTTTTTTCTTTTGATCTTTTTCAGACAGGGTCTCCCTATGCAGTTTGGGCTGACCTTGAAATCACTTTGTGGCTCAGGCTGGTCTCGAACTTGCAATAATCCTCCTACCTCAGTCTCTTGAGTGCTAGGATTACAGACATGCACCACTATGTCTGGCTCTGGAAGTGGTTCATTCTTTCCAGTTTGACTGGAAAACAGTCTGTTAGGGAGAAATAGAAATAATAGATTTCCTTTTTGGGGTGGTACTGAGGATTGAACCCAGGGCCTTTACACTGAGCTACATCCTCCACCCCTTTTTAATTTTTTATATTGAAGACAAGTCTAAGTTACTGAATTGTCCAGATTTGGATGAACTTGTGATACTTCTACCTCAGCCTCAGCATGCTGAAATCTGAGGTGTGCACCACAATGCCCAGCTTGATTTCCTTGATTTTCATCAAGTAATTTAAGCACCAAAGCCTTATAACATATAGTTTGTTATTTAAACAGATTTCCAGCTGTGTGGTTGTAAAGCATCCTTCAGTTCACCTCTCCCAGTGTCCTTCCTCTTGACTGTTGCCTCTGGGCTCCTGGCTCCTTTGTACCTTGGTTGTCACTGTATTTGTGCTTTGATGCTTCTCTTAAGTCTAGCTCCTTCCTCAGTTCATATTTTTATTTGTTCTCTCTGTCTGTCTCCCTCCCTTTCTGTCACTGTCTCTCTAGTACTGGTGATTGAACCTAGCTTGTTCATATTGAGCTATAACCCCCAGCCCTTTTATTTTTTATTTTTATACAGGGTTTTGCTAAGTTGTTGAAGATGTGCCTGAACTTGTGATTCTCCTGCATCAGCGTCTCAGAGTACTGGGATTACAGGTGCGTACTGTCAAACCTAGCTGGATCCTCTTATATTTGTGCCAGATTATCAGTTGATTCTGTCATTCTAGTGCCTTCTCTTCCTTTACTGTCTGGAGCCTGTTTACATTATGGACGTCCTTCATAGTTTGCCCTGTCTCCTGACTCGTTTCCTGGGTCATAGCAGAGAGCTTGGAGCCCATCTTCCTATTTGGTCACTGTAGTTTAGGAAACAAAAGATAGGTGACAGGTGTTCTGGTATCCAGTAACTTTCCCAGCAAGATAGGGAAAACTATGAAGGATGTCCATAACGTAAACACAAACTCCAATCCAGGTTCATTCCCTTTACCTGTGCTAAGCAGCAAATGCTGCCAGAGGAGAACATAGCGAGCAGATGGATGTGAGGAGTGTACCCTCTGTAATCTTGACCTGTGTTTTGTCACATCTTCTCAGTCAGTTATTTGGTATGCAGACCCATACTGTCCTTGGAGCTGATGGCCAGCCTTCACTGACATTTTTATTGAACTGTCAGGATTCCACCTATCCTGATTTGTACAGTGCAGGAGCAAACGAGGCATTTCCTTCTCCTTCACAAGCCTATTTCTGCACCCCAGCCTCCCCCTGAGTCTCCACTGGTGCCATTCCTTGCTGTGCACAGACATGCTTTTCTCCATTGGAGTCTATCATCTCTTCTAGCTCTGTTCTTTTTCTTTGCCATCTCCAGCTTCATACTTACCATGGTATTCATCTGCTCTGTTTTGATGCTGCCCTTCTAGAAAGTCCCTCTTGTGGATCTTGTTCTTGTCTGTTGATTTTATGCTAGCATCTGGTCTTTTTTCCTCCATATTGATTTTCTCAACAATCTAATCCTGGCCTTATAGTTTAATTTATTTTTCAAGTTATCTTTGCCATATTTTTATCTGATAGGGCTGTTTTCTAGCTTTATTAAATAAGCACTGATTTTTAGGAGGCTTATGTGAATGATGTTGTGGGGTTGTTGGTGAGATTATATGGTCTCCTTTAGGGTCTTCTCTATCCGTCTGCTTCACCTGTGTCTCTTAAATCTGTGACAAGAGTCTGGAAAAGGTGGGCCTATGTGCATCTGTTGAAAAGCAGTGTGAGTGGGTACAGACAAGAGAAACCAGGAAGGAGATGGCACAGTTTGGTAACTTCATATCCAAGTGACATTCCTGGCTGTGCCCTCTCTGTGTGTACCCCTAGTTGCCAGGCCCATCTCATAGTTCCTGTCATGCTAACTCCTTCCCATAGGCTATTCTTTGTCATGTGGAAGCCACTGGCCCTTCCCCACAGCCCTATGCGTCAGTGTCTAGGATATACTTGCCTCCTAGAAGCGCTGCTCCTGGCCCCTGCGATAACCCTTTGTGCCCATCTTTTGGATGACTGTCAGGCTCCTGCCTAGCTTCTTTGCTGCCTTATGTTTTCCTGTAGCCTGCCACTCAACTATCCCTAGAATGGCATTTTTAGGACTGTACTGTTGTTCTCATCAAGAAGAGTCCCACTTCTGAGAATGCCCTGTTAGGCTTCATGCCCAAAGCCTGTGTCTGGCTGTACACACCTCTGTCTTTGTTTTCTTGCTGTTTCGTGTCTGTGCTCCACGCTGCTGCAGCATTGAGCCTCTTCCCCTGACACATCTTCTGGGTGGTGTCTTTGCTCACAGTGGTTACCAGGCAGCTTCACCTACCCAGCCAGCGCCGAGATGTGGGCTGGTCCTATAAAGCATTAGTCTGCTGGGCATCTTGTGTACTGCTGTGGCTGCTCCGGTGTGGAGCTGTAATAGCAGTGATTTGTTCTTTGGTGTCTATTCTCAGTTTCTACTCTGCTGCTTGAGGGCAGGGATAAATTTCCCCTTTTTTATTTTTTTATTTTAAAGAGGAAAAAACCAATCAAAGCAAGATAGTAAGAGAGTAATAATGGTTAATATATTGTGCATTGTTATCTTCAAAGTAGTTGCTCACATTACAGGATAATAGGATGAAAAATTGATCAGATAATATAAGCACAAACCTTTCTTTTCAATGAACTAGTAGAAATTAGTAGTATAACTATCTTAACTGTGTTGTTTGTGTGTGTGTATATATATATTTTTTTTTCTCTTCTCCTTATCCTCATCTCAGTTTCTCTTTCCTTTTGAACAATTTCTTTCCATTTTCCAATATTTTCTGTGCATTTTGGATCCTATTTCCTCTTTCAGCTTCTTCACTAGGGAGACAATATGATGTTTACACATGTGAATCTGATTTATGGCACTTATGAATATGTTCTCAAATTGCATCCATTTATCCTTCTTTACAGCTGGGTAGTACTCCATTATTTAAAAATACTACATCTTTTTATCCATTCCTCAGTTGGTGGGCATTTGGGTTGTTTCTAAGATTTAACTGTTACAAATTGCGTTGCTGTATAAACATGGGTGCACATATGTCATTGTATGTTTTTAATTCTTGTGGAAAAATACCCAGAAGGGGACTAGCTGAGCTTAATGGAACCTCTGATCTTAGTTTTTTGAGGAGTCTCTACACTGATTTCCACAGTGGTTGCACCAGTCTGCACTACCACTAGTAATGGAGAGGAGTTCCTTTTTTCCTGCAGCCCCTCCAGCATTTGTTACTGATTAATTTCTTTTTTTTTTACTTGTTTTTTTTTTCCCCAATCTATTTTATTCAAAAATAAGTAGAAAAAGAAGAAGAAGAAGAAGAAGAAGAAGAAGAAGAAGAAGAAGAAGAAGAAGAAGAAAAAACTACAACATAATTTCAAAGCACATCAATCCAGTGACTGGTTGATTTCTTGATGGTAGCCTTTCTTTCCAGGGTGAGATGGAATCTCAGTATTGTTTTAATTTGCATCTCTTGAAATACCAATGATGAACATTTTTTCATATATTTATTTACTGTTTGTATTTCTTCATCTTAGATGCCCATTTTTGGATTTGATCTTTGAATTTAGGGGGTTGATTTTTTTCAATTGTTTGTATGTTCTAGATGTCCTTTGTCTGAGGGACATAGGGTAAAATTTTTTCCCACTCTGTGGGTTGTGTTTTCACTCCGTTAGTGATTTCTTTTGATGTGCAAAAGTTTTTAATAAGATGACATCCCAGTTACTGATTTTTTTGCAATATTTCATATGCACTTTGGGTTTTGTTCATGTAGTCTGCCTACATCTACGTCTTCAAGATTTCTACCAACTTTCCCTTCTAGTAGGTTTAGTGTTTTATTTTAAATATCTTTGATCCATTTTGACTTAAGTTTAGTGCATGGTAATAGACATAGGTCTAGTTTTAGTCTTAAGCATGTAAAGCCAGTTTTTCAAACACCGTTTATTAAAGAGGCTATCTTTCTTCCAGTGAATGTGTTTGGCACTTTTGTCAAAGATAAGGTGGCTTAGTGTGTCTGAAGTTGCTTCTGCATCTTCTAATCTGTTCCATTGATCTTTGGGTCTTTTTTTGTCAGTACCATGCTATTTTTATCACAGTAGCTTTGTAGTGTAATTTCAAGTCAGGATTGTGATGCCCTCTGTCTTGTCTTTGTTGCCCAGGGTTGCCTTTGCTATTCTAGGTCTTGTCTGGTTCCAAATGAATTTTAGGAATGTTTCCTTTAGTCTGTGAGGTATGCTAATGGTATTTTGATAGGGATTGCATTAAATCTGTATAATGATTTCTAAGTATGGTCATTTTCACTATGTTGGTTCTTCTATCTATGAGCAAGGAATGCCTTTTCATTTTCTGATACCCTTTTCAGTCTCCTTTTTTAGAGTACTTTAATTTTCAATGCATGTATCTTTTGCTTCCTTTGTTAGATTGATTCCTAAATATTTCATTTTCTTGGATGCTGTTGTGAAAGATGTGGTTTCCCTAATTTCTCTCTCAGTGAGTTTATTGTTGGTGTACAGGAATTCTATTGATTTTTGAGCATAGACTTTGTATCTAGCTATGTTACTGAATTTGGTTATTAAATCTAGAAGTCATGGGGATTTAGCTCAATGGCATAAGTGCCTGCTTGGCAAGCGTAAGGTCATGAGTTCGATCCTCGGTACCAAAAAAATAATAAATAAATCTAGAAGTCTTTTGGTGGAGTTTTTGGAGTCTTCTACGTAAAGTATCATGTCATCTGCAGATAATGATAATTTAACTTTTTCTTTCCTATTCTTACTCCTTTTTTTCTTGTCTAATTACTCTGGCTAATGTTTCCAGAGCTATATTGAATAGGAATAATGCTAGTGGACATGCTTGTCCTGTTCCTGATTTAGACTGAAAACTTTCACTTTTTGTCCATTTATTAATGATGCTGGCTGTTGTTTTGTTGTAGATGGCTTTTATTAAGTTGAGATAAAAGACCATCTGTTCCAATTTTCTGTCGGGTTTTTATGAATAAGTGTTGGACTTTTTAGGAAGCTTTTTCTGCATCTGGTGAAATGATCATGTGATTTTTGTCTTTGGCTTTGTTGATATGGTGTATCACATTTATTGATTTGTGTATATTGAACCATCTCTGCATTCCTGGGATGAATTCCCACTTGGTCATGGTATATAATCTTAGTGATTTTCTGCATTCTGTTTGCCAGCATCTTACTGAGAATTTTTACATCTATGTTGATTAGAGACATTGGCCAGTAGTTCTCTTTATTGGTTGGGTCTTTCTCTGGTTTTGGTATCGGGATAATACTTGTCTCCAAGAATGAGTTAGGAAATACTGCTTCACTTCAATTTCATTAAAGAGTTTGAGGAGTATTGGAATTAAATTGTCTCTAAATTGCTTATAGAATTCAGCAGTGAATCCATTAGGACCTGGGTTTCTCTTTGTTGTTTTGTTTTTAATTACATTTTAAATCTCATTAACTGATAATGGGCTCTTCAGAAGTCTAATGTCTTGTGATTTAGCTTTAGTAATTCATATGTATGTAGGTATCTGTCCATTTTTTCTGTGTTTTCCATCTATAAAAGTAGTAAAGATTTTTTTTTAATTTAAAGAGACAAAACTAAATGAAGCAAGACATTAAAAGGCTAGAAGCAACACAGAATTTCAAGAGAAAAAACATACAGTAAGCATTCACCAGTTAACAGATCACACATTGTCAGCTTACAAACAGCTGCCCAGATTACAAAATTAAAGCATACAAAGTGGAGATTAATACAGTGAGATTGCAGTCAGTTCTGTTCAATGATCCAAGAAAAATTCAGCAATATGGTTCTCTTTCCTACACATTTAAATAAACTTGCAGTTATATCCTTGAGATCACTTTCCTTCCTCTCGTTTTTACACTAACAATCGCGCATTTTAGTTTCCATTACTTCCACACTTTTTTTAAACTTTGTCTTTGAAGAGGAAAAGAAAAAAGATTGAAAAAAAGTCCAAAAAAAAAAAAAAAAAAAAAAAAAAACCAAGACGGACCAAAGAAAAACCCAATGTGACAAAGCAAAACAGAGTCATTTAGATGAGGAGGATGGACATAGCATAAAATGAAAAAAAAAAAGGGGGGGGGATTACTAGGTGATCAACAGTGGTTACCATTATGCCTCTTGTTATTCTAAAAAGAGTAGCCTATATCAGCTAGTATAAAAGAATTGAACAAAACTATACATAAGACCAATAAAACCACATTGGAGAGCTTACAGGATTCCAAAGAAGATAATAGTCAAATAATAACGGGCATCATAGAATATCTGGTTGCCTTCCAAATGGTTGCCTATACCCTCAAACTTGATACTATTAAGTGAAACAGAATATAATAAAATCAGTCAGAACAACATATGGAGAACACTACAGGGGTTCAAATCAGGTTAATAGGGAAACAAAAAAAATTACTATAATCTATCACACTATTTTTAATTTAGTTTTCCCTTAGTTAAAAGATACTAAGAAATAAATTAATTTTTAAAAAAAAGGAAAGAAAAAGGGGGGGAGACTGAGATTAATAAAAAAAAACATATCAATATAACAACACCGGTCAGAATAAAAAAATTTAACCATCATTGTGTTTTACCCCCAGATAGCTTGACATTAATAGTAGTTACCATAGTGACTCTTTCCTTGAAATATTTGAGTCTAACTTCGTATACTATAGCATCAAATTTATCAAGACAGTGTGAGACCGTTTAAGAGAATGAAATTATTTCAGGGTATTTAGAACCAGCCAGCAGAAACCAAACATCAATTTCTATATTATCTCTTTGTCTATAAAAAACTTGATTATACTATTGCATACATTAAGATATAATAAGGTACCACATGTTAGAACCAATGGAAACAAATGAACAAAAACTTGATGGGGCTTCAAAACAGGATGATATTAAATCAGCGCTAGCTATTACGCTCTTATTCTCTTCAAAATAGTTATTTGTAGTATCACAGACAATAAAATAAAACCACCCAAATTAAAACCATTCCGAGTAATGAGTGAAAACATTATATGGCTTCAAACCAGTGTGACTGGGAATCATGATTACCATGTACTTTGATGTATTCTTATCGTTTCTTACACTAGGGAAACTATTTGGTATTTATACAGGTGAGTTTGATTTATTTCACTTATAAGTATGGTCTCGAGCTGTGTCCATTTATTTATAAATGTCTCAATGTGATCATTCTTTATAGCTGAGTAATACTCCATTGTATAAAAATACCACAACTTTTTTTATCCATTCCTCAGTTGATGGACACTTAGGTTGTTTCCAAGATCTGGCTATTACAAATTGTGCTGCTGTAAACATGGGTGCACATATATCACTGGTATGATGCTTTCAGTTCTTCTGGGAATATGCCTAGGAGTGGAATAGCTGGGTCAAATGGTGCTTCCAGTCCCAGCTTTCTGAGAAATCTCCAGACTGACCTCCACAATGGTTGCACCAGTCTACATTCCCACCAACAGTGCAGGAGAGTTCCTTTTTCCCCACAACCTCTCCAGCATTTGTTGTTGGTGGTTTTCTTGATCTTGGCCATTCTTTCAGGAGTGAGATGAAATCTCAATGTGGTTTTAATTTGCATTTCTCTAATGACTAGTGATGCTGAACATTTTTTCATATATTTATTTGCCGTTCATATTTCTTCATCTGAAAATTGTTTATTCATCTCCGATGCCCATTTTTGGATGGGGTCTTTGAATTTTGGGGGTCTGATTTTTTTAATTCTTTGTATGTGTTAGACAGAAGTCCTTTGTCTGAGGACAGTTCACTAGGATTTTTTCCCAGTTTGTGGGTCTTCTTTTCACTATGTTAGAGATTTCTTTTGATGTGCAGAAACTTTTTAATAAGATGTGATCTCAGTTATTGATTCTGGGAAGTATTTCCCGTGCGGTTTGGGTCTTGTTCATGAATTCTCTACCTACCCCTATGTCTTCAAGGTTTTTACCCAATTTGTCTTCCAATAGATTCAGTGTTTCTATTTTAATATTTAGATCTTCGATCCATTTAGATTTTATTTTAGTATATGATGACAGGCATGGGTCTAGTTTTAGTTTTCGGCATATGGAGAGCCAGTTTTTCCAACACCATTTATTAAAGAGACTATCATTCTTCCAGTGAACCTGTTTGGCCCCTTTATCAAAGATGAGGTGGTTGAGTGTGTTTGTAGTTGTGGTTGTATCTTCTAATCTATTCCATTGGTCTTCGGCTCTGTTTGATTCCAATACCATGTTGATTTTACTACAGTTGCTTTGTAGTATAACTTCAAGTCAGGGATTGTAATGCCTCCTGCCTTGCCTTTGCTGCTTAGAACTGTCCTTGCTATTCTAGGTCTCTTCTGGTTCTAGATGAATTTTAGGATTGATTTCTCGAGATCTATGAGGTATGTTGACGGTATTTTTATCGGGATTGCATT